CTGATTATTTTTTTAATAAGAATGAGATCACGGTTGAAATGAGTTTCCTCCACAGGGTAGCTGGATTCTCCCTTAGAGATAGGGTGAGAAGTTTAGTTATCAGGTGAGACTCATAGTAGAACGGCTGCTCCTCCTTATTGAAAGGAGCCAGGTCCAGTGGTTTGGGCATCTGGTAAGGATGCTTCATGGGTGCCTCACTATTGAAGTGCTTTGGGCATGTCCAACTGGGAGGAGACCTTGGGAAAGCCCCATGACATGCTGGAAGGACTACGTCTCTCGGTTAGCCAGGGGACATCTTGGGGTCCTCCCAGGAGAGCTGGAAGAGGTGGCTGTGGAAAGATGTCTGGACCTCTCTGCTCAAGCTGCTGCCACCATGACATGACTTCGGAATAAGAGGAAGTTAATGGATTATTTTTATATACAGTTTGGACTCACATAATCCATTAGCTAGATGTTATATAACAAAACAAAATATTTCTCCCATCTTTGTATAGGGTTGGTCTTTTCCATTAAAAATTAAAAAAAATACAGACAAATTTCAACATCTTTTACTTCATAACTTTTCACTCCATATTAAAACAAAGTGTTCATGTCAATTAAAAAAAATACTTGCATTATTGCTTTATTCATCTTTTCTCCCAGCAGGTTTTACAACTCTAGACTAATTTCATTTTGTGGAAAACGTGGAAGAAATGGCTCTTCAAATTGTAAAGGTTACAGAGCCGTGATTTTTAGGAGATGTGTAAAATTGTCAGGTCTGGTTTCTGGTTTTTCCATGTTCCCTCTGTTGCTATCCCAACCTGGTAAAGCGACAAGTAATTTAAAGAAGAGAATGAATGAATGAATGAATGAATGAATGAATGAATGAATGAATGAATGGCTGTGTTCGCATCCTTACAACACTTCTATACAGTGTGTTTAAGGATCGTGCAGTGGAACAATGAATGAGGGTGATGCTCTTGACTGACTGACTATTTAACACCTGACCTTAATGTCACACATTGTCTTTCTTTCTGACAGTCTGCAAATCTGCAGAAGGACGTCACAATAAACCACAAGTCTGGAATAAGCATCTGTTTGTAGTAAACGTACTAAAGTCATTATACCACTAGATCTATGCCATTTTATCCTTTCAGTGAGCTGATAGTCACCAGAGCCAAGAACAACAAGTGTGATTTACCGCTCTGCAGTATTCTATAATGCATTGTAAGGTGCAGGCTCAGCTGCTGCCTCCCAGCTGTGATTTGTTACTCACAGAGGCTCCAGAGGATGGCTTTTACCCCACAGTCGCATAAATGCATCCAGGCAAAAGACTCCTTCACAGGATCATGTTTTGTACAGCATTTAGGCTGCATTTGTCAGGTGTTTTTAGTGTTTTTATTCCTTTTTGCATTGTGAAGCTTCAGATGGCTGTTCTTTTTTTATATATTTCTGCTAATTGTAAAAGCGAAATTGCAAATCCTGAAAATGATTAAGTGGATTTTGGCTCCAATTCATAACCTCTTAAAGAAGCAGGAGGAATGAGCTGAGTGGTAGACATTCCAGCGGGGTGAAGCTAAAAACCTAGCAGTCTGGTGCTGCAGGGTAACACGATCATTTCAGGCCTCGTGTTGACTGAATATTGACGTGACCAGACTAAAAAAAGCCCTTCTCTCGTTTCAAAAACACACGCATCTAAAGAAATTAGGACCAAATGTAAAATTTTCTGAAATGAATAGTTCTTGGTTTCACAGAGGTTATTTTTTTAATAAATCATGTCTAAGATGCTCCTGTTTGCTTATTTTTTTCACAAATTGTGTGTAATGTCTGACATCACACCTCACAGCTACCATCACCTGTCATAAAACTGATGTCATCATGGAGGCAGCACACCGCTCGCTTATTTTAGTCCTGTTTGTCATCAGGTCGCTGTGTTACCATGGAAACACAGACTGCAGCTCAGACATCCTGTAAGGTCAGGTCAACACAAACCAGTGTATGTTTCTAACACCTGTCCCAGTGCATCCATCATCTGTGGTGAAAATGCAATGCTCCCTCAGGTCACAACTTTTCAACAATCTCACATGAACTTTAATATTTAGTGCACGAGTCTCACCAAATATTGTTTACTTTGAAATTTCATTTAAATACCGTGTGCAGCCCCCCAAGTCAGAATGTCTCAAGACTTGAAAGACACAACTTCTAATATTTCATAATGCAACAATTCAAATAGTTTGAATTTTTTAAAAATAGATTTGAAGAAAAAATGCAAAAATTCTGAAGAAAAATTAAAGTGTATCAATGCAGCTGCTGCCTGAAATCCATCCGTCCGTCCATCCATTCATCCATCCATCCATCCATCCATTATCTTCCTCTTATTGCACAGTCAGGTCTCAGGGGCAGCAGCTTGAACAGGGAGGTCCAGACATCTCTTTCCACAGCCACCTCTTCCAGCTCTACTGGGAGGACTCCAAGGTGTTCCCAGGCCAACTGAGAGACGTGGTCTCTCCAGCGTGTCCTGGGTCTTCCCTGAGGTCTCCTTCCAGTCAGACATGCCAGAAGCACCTCCCTAGGGAGGCGCCATGGTAGCAACCTTACCAGATGCCCAAAACACCTCAACTGGTTCATTTCCATGTGGAGGAGCAGTGGTTCTACTCCGGGTTTCTCTAAGGGAGAGTCCAGCTACCCTACAGAGGAAACTCTTCAACCGTCTGTATCCACGATCCCACTACCCAGAGTTCATGACTACAGGTGAGTGTAGGAACGTAGACCGACCGGTAAACTGAGAGCTTTTTTTTCCATTCAGTCTTTATTTATACAGGTTAGTCTCAATGAGTCACGAGGACTCATTTACTAGAGAGGCCTGTTTAGGGGAGCTTTGCCTTACAGCTCAGCTCCCTCTTCACCACAACGGACTGGTACAGAGTCCACAGTACTGCAGCAATCCATCTGTCAGTCTCACGCTCCATTCTTCCCTCACTCATGAACAAAACACCAAGATACTTGAACTCCTCCACTTGAGGCAGAACCTCACCCTCGACCTGAAGAGAGTAATCCACCTTTTTCCAACTGAAAAAAAGGTGCCTGAAATACAAACAAACATAAATATTTTTAAAAAGCTCAATTATAATTTAAAACTGTGTGTTATGTGCTGTCATATCATAATCAATAGTTTGACTGGTCAATACAGCCTCGAGCCTCAGAAACAGAAACAGTGCATCACCCCTCCATGCTCCTGTTGTAGTTTTTATTGAATTATCTTTGATTTACATGTGTGAGTATATAAATATATATACACACACACACGCATATATGTGTGTGTATATGTATTTATATACTCACAAAACAACATACTAGTGTGAAAGAATGTTACATGGTGACTCTGTTCAGTTTGGTGCTGTTTTATGGAACAGCGTCTGTGTTATTATGCAAATGTCTGTGAGCTGAGCGAAGATCAACCATGTCCTGATTCGGTCCAGACTGGAGGAAAACATGCCTCTTCACATGCTGTGCTCTCTGGCTGGTGTCCCAGCTGAGGAGGTACTAACAGTTGATTAAACATCTTGTCTAAACATCACTTCAGAGTTGACTGGACTACCCCATAAATATTATAAAATGACTACGTTTTAATGAACAAACTGAATAAGAAGAATTTAAACAACTATGACAATCCAGCCAAAAAATGATAAAGCTGCTGCTGATCACCAAGGTAACGACACTCGGAGGCCTGTCACCCATCGACTGTATGTTTTATTGGAGCTGCCTGAAGCAGCACCGGTTATTATCCACCTGAAACGGGTCTTGCTCTTCTATCAACTTTAATGCAGCCCAAACCACAATGTGCACCCTCACAAATGTGATGTCCAAACGACCGGCTCGGCACCATGATGTGCATGATGTACTTTTACTGGCATTTTGAGTTACCGTGGTGATGAAATTTACAAACAAAGACGCCATTTTTCCCATTCAAAATGCCTGATGAAACTCTTCACAGCCTCTAACTGCCACCGTGAGGTCACATGACCTCGAGGGCAGAGGTCGCTGAACAAAACTCAAAGTCATCAAACAGCTCTTCCTACCGCCACATCTTTTAAGGTACACAAACATATTATATATCAAAACGTGGGCATGTTTGCCATCTAAATTTTAAAATGACCGCCACATGGCAGTTCCCGTTAAAGTTTCTCCAGAAACTTTCTAGTTGACAGGTGCAGAGGAGACGGTGCACATCTGTCAACAAGTTGCTGTGTGAAAAACTAAATCATATACTGACAAAACTCCTAAACCATAAGCAGCTAAAGGTGAGGACAACACCGAAGTGAGTTTGTATGTGTCAGTAGTATTTAATGTGCATTAGTAAATATAAAAAGTTCAAAAGATTCTTCACAACCCAACGACTGAACAGTGGCAGAAAATGAGTAGATGGGTGGACCACTGGATGGCAGTGGCCTCTTTCAGTGTCAATGAAAACAGATCAATAAGATCTACAGAACAAAACAATCTGTTTGTTTTATTCAAAATGTCCCGAGCGTCTGAACGAACGATGGAGGGTCGCCTCACAACCATAAACACTCTGCTAGACAGATACAGACACATTCACATGTTGCAATGGGTGGTCATATTGTTATGGCTGGTTATTATACTGAAGTTTACCAGATGTAGATCACCTGAGCTAAATTATTAGGATTAGACATTTCTAATAATCCACATTTTCTTTACAGCAGTGGGTTTCTGTCGTGATTTTAGTACAATATTTCAGACAGAAAGTATATGTGTATTGTCCCACTGCAGGGCTTCCACCTGCAGACGGTCCTGGTTCTGGTCCAGTCACCGCTCGGTCCGGGTCCTATTACCTCCAGGAGGACATGGCTTCCAAAGCTGATGACGTGACGTGACACACATGACGCTGTTTCTCCCAGCTCGATTAATAACCCTGACTGTGCGCATGAAATACTTCAGAGCACTTCCTGTTCCCTCGTCGCGTGAATCCAGAGAAGTGTTTAAAGTGCGGAGCTTCTTACCGGATGATGGAGCTGCCGGCAGTCCCTGCTCTGCCTCCTGCCTCAGCACCGGAGCAGCGTCTCTCCCTGCACAGCGTCAGAGGGGGCGGGAGGGGGCGTGGTGCTCCCGCACGCTCCCAGGTCCTAAGCCCCGCCCCTTGACCTTCTCCAGTGGTGACACTTGATGCTATCTTTAGCTTGTTGTTTTTGGCCAGAGCAAGGCATGATGGGATGGATGGCTGCAGAGAGATGCTGTAGCGCAGCTGCAACGTTCATCTTGATGCGAGCTGCATGTCCTGCAGTCACACACACACACACACACACACACACACACACACACACACACACAC